ATTATTCAATTCAATAGCTGTTAGTAAGTTTGGCTTCAAATATGCGCACATAGTGCACACACTGTGTTTTTCTTATAATTAATTAAAAAAGTATTTTTTATTTTCAGGGTATGGTAATTTAGCTCCTACAACAATGTTTACACGAATTTTATGATTTTTATGGACTGATTGGCATTCCAATGAACGGTATCGTTATATTTACACTTGGTGAATTTTTTGGCAAATCGGTAAGTGATAAAAAGCATCACAATCATCAGCTACACTTAAAAGTCTTTTAACGTTGTTAATCGAATATTCATCAATGAAATTTATATATGTACTTATGTAATTATCTCCCACGTCTAGTATTGTATCTAATAATTGAAGTATCACATTTTTTGAGAGTACACTTAAACCTTACCGTTTTTTAAATATTTTCAATTTTATGTAATTACAGTAAAATTTTTAAAGCTTCATTTCTCCAATGGTATCAAAGTTTTTAGTACTAAATATTTACTGAAGATTATTTGTTGATCAGATATTGTGTTGCAATAATAAAAATTATACTACCTTATACAGAGTCTCCACAAATTTATATGAAATAATTAATTGCTTTAAACGGCAATAACTTGTTTAATTTAAATGGAACACTCTAGATTTTAGGTGAGTCAGATGCACAATTTAATTGTGTAATACCATTTGTATTAACCATTTGTATTATATGAAATTGTATTATACCATTTTTTACCTAGCTCTTCAAGTTTTCCTAAAAAAAATCGTTTTCTTATAATTTAGACCTCATTTATCATTATACCCATGGAATATTGACATTTTAGATTAAAGCAACATATGTACAAAATATACAGGTGGTAAAAATAATAATATTGCAAGCCCATTTGTTTACAAAAAGAGTATACCAATTAAATATACCACCATTACTTCCGCCCGAAAATTAGCTAATTACATTCGTACTTAATTGTTTTAATTAATAAATTATTCTAAATAAATGTGGATTTGACTCAGAAATCAATATAATAATAAGTTATGAAAATGAACGTCTCTGTTGTTATAAATAAGCATTCGTCAAAAAATGAAATAAAATTTATAAGGGATTACTTTTCACCATACTGTCTAATATACATACAAATTTCAGTTTTTTAGTAGGTATTTGGAGCAATTATTATTAATCAACGTAAACAGTCAATTAATGTAGTTTGAATACTGGGATCATATTAATTGGTCCTCTTTAACAAAAAGTATTTAAACGGTTTTTTTTAAATGAAGTACACTTGAAAATTTGTTACATTAAAAACAATTTAAAATGTCAATATTCCATTGGTATAGTGATAAATAATATGGTCTAAACTATAAGTAAATACATTTTCTACAAAAATTTGAAGAGATAAAAAATGGTAAAATACAATTTGATAGACAGTTAAATTGTGCATCTGATTCTCGTAAAATATACAGGATGTTCTATTTAAATTAATTTATTGCCGTTTAAAGCTAGTAATTATTTAATATAAATTTTTAGACACTCTGTATACCCTAATTCTACCAAAATTCTTCACTGTTTGAGCAATCTTCAACGAAAATATCAATCATAGTCTGTGCTAAAGGCGCAATAAAAGTATGTGTAAGTATATGTATATATATTAATTATACACACCTATATTTAATAAGTATAATAAGACAATCTGTAAACACTTAATAAATCAAATATCATATGACTTTAAACGAACAAATAAAAATTAAAGAAACAATAAATTGATTAAACCACTTTTGAAAAGTGACGAACTAAGAATTTACCTTGTGTCTGTTTATGTTTTTTTTATCGTTCATAGATATCAAATATATGAACAATCAAACAAACTTTTTGTTTCATAGTGATAAGCAACTTACATAACATTTATCTGATTTTGGATCGAAACTGGATGGCCAAACACATACAGTTTAAGACGGGACTTACGAGTGCGAGATAGGTTAAGACCTTGACTGCTTAATGTATGTATGATCTTTTTTGAAAATAAAATCAAAGACGTGATTGCCATTCATTACCAAAACATTACCATAATGAAAATAATGTCCATACCTTTGTGACGGGTTCATTTCTTGGAAAGATTATAACTATTTTATTTTGTAGACTTTTCATCTAGTGGTGAAAAAATCAGAAGTGAATAAATAATGTCATTATATGACATTATCTGACACTGTTTAGGAGGAGGGTTAATCACCGTAACCTTACAGATCTATTATGTGTTCCCCCTTCTTGAGTTATAATAAGTTATCATACATCATACAGAATCAAAGCTTTGACAAAATCGGCTGATGGTACGGCTACCAAAGTTTACGGCACGAACGGTTGTTGTCTCAGTGAACTCAATCATAAGATGTTCTGGTGTTTCTCCACAGAACACAACTCGCCGTTGTTTCTCAACTTTAATCTACTGAGGTGTTCTTTGAGGAGACAGTGTCCTGTTAGAAACACCGTGACAATTCAAAGATTGTCAAGTTAAAGTTTTGATTTTCCTCGGATTTCTGCTTTAAGTTCGTTTCCACTTGGAAAGTAAAACGGTTCTGGTCCAATTAGTTGAGTGTTCTCTCCTTTTCTAGCTAGATCGTTTGGATGTTCATTGCCTTCTATCCCTTGATGAGCGGACATCCAGAGTAGAAGGACTTTACTTTCTTTGCCTCATTTGTTCAGCTTCCCTAGGCATTCTTTGACCAACTTCGAATTGATGTTTACTGAACTCAATACTGATGATTAACTGATCGCTTTTAGTGCTGCTTGACTATCAAATAAGATCGCTATTTCCTGTTTTGATAGTTCCTATCTAAGGGAAATTGTACGCATCTTTAGATAGTGTAGAGTTCTGCCGTAAAGATGCTGGGATCCCATTGGTTCGGAGTGTTTAGTAGTCGGCCAAATACTTATATCCCTGTCTCTGCTTTGGTTTTGGAAGCATCATTATACCTCGTTATGGTATGGTCTTTTACATGCTGGGCAAACGTTTCTCTTTTTCAATACTGACGCTGTAGACCTCAAAGAATCTTAGAATTTGTTATTCTGTTTTCTGTAGGTTACTCAATTTCTGATGTTATTTATTTTTTACAATTATTATTTGTAAAAATCTTTTGTAGACCTTCTGCTCAATTTCTTACAGTTTTTGCTTTCTAAGGCTGTTGCTAGGATATATTATTAATTTTAATTGTTTTTTAGACATTGCTAATGACTGTAAACCCTAAGTTATAAAGCATAATTGAAACTACCGTATGATCGAGAAAAAACGGCGTCAGCGATGGCTATGAAATGAAGATCGCTGTCATTTTATATGTAAATGTATATGGGGAATGTCATCGATCGTCATTTCCCAGCCAACTGGACACCGTTTTTTTTTCGATCATACGGTATTAAGACATCAACTTTTAGATAGAAAAAATATACTTTTAAGCAGGCGGCCCTGAAATGAAGTTCGCTGTATGCAAAATTACTTGGTTAAATGTCATCGATGACAGATACTTATATTTTAATATTTTAAAAGTTTGGTCAGGGTCAAAGTGTATAATTATTATGTAAGATTTAATGATGTAATGTTTAATATTTTATATTTTTGAAATGAAACTTCTTTAGGTGCGTTGAGAGTAAAAATTCAAGGCCGTGGCACAAGAGCTAGCGTCAGGAAAAGTGGTAGTGGCAGTGTTGCCACAGCTACCCCATTCGAGGTAGATCTACACCTTTGTAAAACAATTTAGCTTGCTCTGGGTAACGATCTGTGCCATACGCGGCTAAGAAAATTACTATAACTACAGGTAGAATACAGCAGTCATAAGCCTTTTTCTTTAGGTTGATGGGCACCTTTCTATCCTTGAAAACATCGCTCATATATCCAAATGCTATCCATGCCAAATGGATCCTGCGTTTGATCTCCGTATTTTGGTTCTCCTTACCCAGCTTGATTTTATGACCTAAATATATATAATGGTCTACGTTTTCAATAATAACGTTGTCAACAGTAATGTTATGGATATTGTTGCTCATTATCTTGCTCTTCTTCAAGTTCATTTTAAGGCCAATTTTCTGGGACTGGTCATTTAGCTCCTTTAGCATGGTGTTCAGTTCTTGAATGTCGGTGGTCAGCAAGACAATATCGTCTGCGAACCTAAGATGGCTAAGGTGTACCCCATCGATGTTTAGACCGCTATTTTCCCAGTATAATTTCTTGAAGACATTTTCCAGTGCCAGTGTAAATAACTTGGGAGAGATGGTATCTGCTTGTCTCACGCCCTTGCCGAGTAGTATTTTTTCTGTTTTGAGGTCATCATCTAATTTAACTTGGAACGTTGCACTATCATAGATATTTTTAATAATGGAATAATATCTGGAATCAATTCTCGCGTCCTTCATTGCAGCTAGAAATCACCAGGTTTCGATGCTGTCAAAGGCTTTTTGGTAGTCTACAAAGGCCAAATGTAGCGGTATATTGTATTCTGTTGTTTTTTCAATGACTGTTTTAATTGTTTGTAGATGATCGATGGTACTAAAACCTTTTCGAAAGCCTGCCTGTTCTATTGGCTGATAGGAATCTAGTTTCGTAGAAAGTCAGTTGTTGATAATCCTAGTGAAGAGCTTGTATAGGTGCGAGAGAAGGCTTATTATTTTATAATTCTCTATATTAACCACTATAAATACGAATCGTTGGTGAGGATCATAATTTTGTCTCTTCTTAAAGAAATTTAAGCGTTAACATTATTAGGCATTTGCATAACTGTCTATTTTGGGTGGTAAATATTCCACAAAATTTGCAAGCTATTCAGGAAGCAGAAAATATACAGATTACAGAAATAAATTGAAAATGATATTTATATTAAAGCAGCATCATAAGTCGCTTTTTCAAACATATCCTTCAAATTATTCAATTCAATAGCTGTTAGTAAGAAGTTTGGCTTCAAATATGCGCACATAGTGCACACACTGTGTTTTTCTTATAATTAATTAAAAAAGTATGTTTTTTTATTTTCAGGGTATGGTAATTTAGCTCCTACAACAATGTTTACACGAATTTTTATGATTTTTTATGGACTGATTGGCATTCCAATGAACGGTATCGTTATATTTACACTTGGTGAATTTTTTGGCAAATCGGTAAGTGATAAAAAGCATCACAATCATCAGCTACACTTAAAAGTCTTTTAACGTTGTTAATCGAATATTCATCAATGAAATTTATATATGTACTTATGTAATTATCTCCCACGTCTAGTATTGTATCTAATAATTGAAGTATCACATTTTTGAGAGTCTGGTATATGAATTTATTATAATTTTTTCTTAAAAATAGCGAAAAATAACTTTATCTTGCCATTTAACACGTTCGAGACGATAAATTATCGCTGTATTATTGGCAAATATCAACAAATTTATTAGCAAGTAATAGAGTTTAATATTTGTTCTTCCAATTTTCGAAATACACATTCTTAATAAGTAGATCAAGGGACATTTTTGTAAATGTATGTAAAAACGATGTAAATTTTCAACCATAAAAACGTTTTTTCTAACCGTTTTTTAGGCCATTATTACACTATAAAATTTATATGTCAAAGATCTTTTAAAAAAGATATTTGCTGAAAAATTTGACAGAGTAATTAATATACAATATTTTATAAAATATGGTATATTATCTACATCTATACTAAATATAAAATCCTTAAGTGACTGACATACTGATTAATCACGATCCTGCTCAAACCACTCAACGTAAGAAGCTCAGTTTTGGCGTACAGGTTGATTCTAGGGTGTAGAGGTTCGATAAGAAGGGATTTTTTGAAATTCCAGTTCCAAGAGGGTGAAACCACCCCTCAAATATTACAATATTTTTTATTTAAAAAACGTCAAGTTTCCGAAAAAACGCTTAAACACGTATATTTTATTTTGTTTTTTTACATATTTTGAGATTTTTTATAAATTTATACAGGGTGTTTCATAAAATATTATATTATTGAGCAATCACGATTCTGCTTAAACTGCTTGACGTTTAAAGCTGATTTTTGGCAAACGGATTGACTGTGGGGTGTAGAGGTTTGATAAGGAGGGGTTTCTCGAAACTCAAATTCCAAGAGGGTGAAAACGCCCCTCAAATATTACAACATTTGTTATTTAAAAAACGGTTAGTCTTTCGGGAAAACGCTAGGATAAGCATAATTTATTTGGTTTTTTACATATTTTGAAATTTTTTAAAAAGTCATACAGGGTGTTCCAAAAAGTTGGGTAATTTCTTAACCACGATTCTGCTTAAACTGCTTGACGTAAAAAGCTTATTTTTAGCAAACGGATTTTACGAAAGTCAAATTCCAACGAGATGAAACTACCCCTCAAATATTACCAAGTTATATAATAATATCGCCATATTGTTTTTTCTCATGCTGACATAAATGTGAGAAAATTTTATCCAGTTTGTATGTTAATGGAAATTCTCGCTTTGCTTATCATCACCATTACAAATGATTAATTTGACGCGAACGAAGTCGCTGGTACACGCTAGTACTGTATATTTAGTGATGTAAAATTGCCGGTAATATTACGGTAACATTAGTAATTTATGAAAAAAAAACAGCTTTTTAAATAACATATTTTTTTTTATTTGAAAACTGTAAAAACATTACAAAAAAAAGGACTAGAACGTTTTTTAAGCTAGTCAGAATCAGGGTGGCCTATGTTATAGTACGTAATAAGCTTTGTTCGGGTTCTTGTTATTACCGATTCTGAACCATCCTAGAACTCGGCAGCGCATGCGCAAATGAAATAATGTCTTCATATTTCCTTCTGCGCATACGCATCACAGTTCTAGGACGGTTCAGAATCGGTAATAAGAGAAACCGGAAGTAAGCTATAGAGTGGATAGTGGTAAATCGTCCTAAATATTTTCATATGGTTCTTCTTTCTCTATTGTTAATTGAGTAATTTCTCAGCAACTTTCTCAGCTCTGGCTCACTATTCTGGAAGATTCTTCTCCATTCAGTAAATTGTAATTATGGGCAATATAAGTAAGTTTTACGGAAAACGAATTTAGATATCGTCAAATCATTAATCATATTAAATTTTTGGATTGTTTGGACGCTTCTGAAATTTATTGTAAACCAACCAAACGGGCAAAATAAGAATACCCAATTAAATATTTCAGTCATAGAATATTACTCTAATATCTAATACCGTATGCATATAATAAACAGCATCCAGATGGCTTGGGAATGAACATTGATGATATTGATGACATTTTAGATAAAAAAATGTCAATGATTTCTGTTTAAAGCCATCGCTGATGCCGTTTTTTTTTCGATCCTATTGTATTTATGTACCCTATCTAATTATTAGTAGTACCTATTATATTATTTTTGCCTACCAGCTATCGGAGTTTAATATCCTTAACAAACACACTAGCCATAAACACACATAACGCTATAAATATTCAGCCATTCTGTCTGAACTGAATTTCACAGCTTTTTCAAATTTTTTTGGTAATTGGCGTGGCTTCTGCCATGTCTGTTTGATTAAAATGATAGATGGCATCTAATCTATCATTTTGTGTAACTATACATATTCGTCCTGGCACATTGTTACCGAATTATGGAATTTCAATGTAGGACTCAATAAACTGCAAATGCTGAATCACTGTACCTTGTAACTTTTTATAATGATATGATATTAATTTCTAATAATTCTGGAATGCCTATACATATAGTACGTAATTTTCAGTTCCTTTTTTCAGTATATTCAAAAGTTGTTCCTTGGGACGCCACTGAAGTTAATTGTTTTAATTTAATTATGCTTAAATTATGTTTAAATAGAAATAATATTGACAAATTTAAAAAAAATCGTCTACAAGATATTTAAGACAATTACAAAAGAAACTATTTTTTGAAGGGCAGAAGTGCAGATTGTCAAGGGTCCCACCCTGCAAAGTTGGATACGACGTTTGGCATAATTGGCTCGCTATTGTCCGGTTTTTTTATATTCAATCAGCTCCTGAAATTTGGCCGTGGACTTATCGAACACCCTGTATCTCAAAAGTTTAACCAAATTAGTATATTATAGCATTATTTAAATGGTTTATATTAATATTAGATTTCCGTTTGTTACAGTTTACAAAATTGCATGCCCGCTGGAAGAACTCGAAGCTAGAGGCCAAACTGGATTACGATGTTGCCAAATTAGGCCTGATTGGACAAGTTATCTTGTACTTGATACCCGGATTCACCTTCTTTATATTCCTACCTTCTACTATTATGTCGGTGTTTGAGGGATGGGAATATGACATCTCTGTATATTATTCCTTCGTAACACTTACGACAATTGGATTTGGAGATTTCGTGGCAGGTTAGTAATTCATTCATAATATTTTACAACGGCTCTATGTTCAGAAGTTGATATCTTCCATGTTTATTAAAGCAACAATATCATAATATCATATATCTACATCTTCTGGACTTAAAACCATCTTTACTAGAGTAGCTGCCAACAATCATTAATAACATACATTTTCAATGACAAGTACATTACAAAAACAATAAACACTATTTCATATATGTATTGATGAAGAACTTATCAACAAAAAACTTTACAAACTGTAAATTATTTGCTGTAAATTGTATTTGCTGTAAATTGCCAAAATTGCTATAAATCGTTACGAAACCGTTGCGTTATTCAAAAACGAATATCTCCAATAACCGATCGGTCTAAATAAACCATTTTTTTATGAAAATATTTTAGACTGAAGATTGAAAATATTGACAGGTGGAGCAGGTGTCTATGCAAAAATCCAAATTTTCAAAAATATCCTATCACCAATTCTAGAAAAACGTCTAACGTGCCATGGCCGTGAATCACAGTACATTAAGTAGCTACAGATGCCTGACGCATTATTGCCGAACCCTGTACCATTCCACAGGATGTTTAAGCTTTCGTCAAAATTGCAACTTTTTGTTTTCCATCGTATAATAGACAGATGAGCAATCATTTTTAACTTAAAAAGGGACTAAAAGACCAAATTATTTAGCTGTAAATTGCTTAAAAAATTATCAAAATCGGCCCACTAGAACAAAATGTATTGAACTTTGTTTTACAATAAGAGCACTGATGATGCTCAAGTCAACAACGTCAAAATACGTTAACCTTCAGCATTTAAAATGCGGGTAAACATTTAACACCTTATATTTCCTTTGGTTATAAAAAAATAACAAGTTATCGTCAGAGAAATCAAATATATTGGTTATAAACTTAAATGAAAATGGTAAAGAAAACGTAGTTTTTGTTGTTGTTATTTCTTGAAAGCAACTATTGTTTTTAAGAAATAAATTATAACAAGCTAATTTTTCAGAGATGCTTTTCGTATTAACACGTACATTTGTTTAGTTTATTTAAACTAAACAAATGTACTCACGCACTCAAACTAAACTATTTAAAAACAACTACTGTTTTCCATCACAAAATAGTCTATGTTACAGTAAAAGTCGGAAATCCAGTAAATCTTGACAATCACTAGGACATGTTAAAAATTACGCGTTGAACCAGAAAATGTCAAATTTTACTAGTAATTTTTAGCAGTCTCTAGTGAGAAATTTGTTGTCAGTAAAGTCATTTTATTGTTCAAGAGGGAGAGTGTTGGTGAAAGTAGGAACAAATAAAACTATTAAGAACATTGAATCATCTCCATTTTTAAGCCGAATCACTCATCGTATTGGCCTGATCCACTGCGACCTATTCAGATCTATTGTTGACCCCTTCTGATCCTTAGGTTACATTTCAACAAAGTCTAGCAACTGAGCGACTGAACCTTCCATGTAGCTTCCTAGCAATGGCCTATCATTTCCTGTTACCGCGAATCGCACATTTGCCTGCGGTGCGAGAGATGGGGTGATACAGGGTTCGATCATTAGACAGTACGCTCCCTTTATTCTTCTCTCGCATTCTTGTGACTGCCTTTGCAACGCCGCAGAAGGGTTCTGGGCAAATGAATGGTTGTAGTTGCTTGCCCGATAGCTTGGCCCTTTCATCTGTCTTTTGTTACCCTTGTGGCCCTCGTAACAGTCAAATTTCCTCGCTACGACCTCTGTGTGCTAGCTCATAAATTATCGCAAATAACTATTATTTTTGCATCATGTTTACTATAATTTTATTGTTAAATATTATTTTATTTAAATTTTACGATTATGCAACCCGATATACACCGCGATATGCAAGCTTCACAATATTGTCACTGGCCCAGCATTAAAATTTTTGTCGACCTCTCTTTATCTTTGGTCATCACTTGTCACTTGTCACTGTCAGATAAAATCAGATGTTTTTGGATTTATTTATCCTTTGTTTTGATTATTGAAATTTTATAATTATCAGATAAAATTTCGTAGTTAAATTGGTTATTTTTGATGTGGATCGCAGTGTCCAATTTGTTCATTTAATTGTGGAATTTCTGAGTTAAGTTCGTTCATTGACCGGATATGAAATATGGCTGTTGGAAAATATTCTAGAACATCGTTTTTTATTTATGCCTTTTTGTGACTTGGACTAGTCAAGATATATAGTTCTCTATCTCTATTCTGGAGGGAGATTTCCGGTTGAAATCTGATTTTGTGAAGGAAATCGTATCCTTGCATCACTTCTTGTGTACCCACTGTCCGAATGTCGTCGTGAAGAACTCTCTGCCGTTTCGTGAAGCATTCCCTGTTGGTGAATAGCAGGTCTTCGTAAAGAAGGATTAAGGCTTCCGAAACAAATTTGGTCAGAGACGTGGTTGGATTTTGATGATTTTTATGGACCGTCGACCAATTACCGCAATGGGATTAAAATAGCCAAATTTTCCTACCGATATTCCGATTCCACGTGCCCAAGAAGTCCCCGAATAGTTCCAAGGTATGCTATAATTCTTCTGCCTATTCTAAGTCAATGCTCAACTGATTTTTGTTCATATTGTTGTCTGGTTTTCGACTTTTCCACGCCCACGTGGTGTAGAAAGATTAGTTGAGTGTTATCTTTCTTAAATCTTATTTGGTTGTTCGTAATTGTAGAGCAAGAAGACCGATCCAGACCGTAGCACAGAACAGTCCAGAATTTCATCCGTTCCTGTTATCCGTGTAGAGGTACCCGTTGGACATCATGAGGTAAAGTTCAGATTTGATTAGTCCTTCTTTATTACCTTTATTAACTCCTACACGTTGTGCTAGTCCTTGTTCTATAATTGAGGCTCTTTTCTAAGACAATCAATGTTATTTAGGGTTTTTATGTTCACCTTTTGAAGTCCTACACTTGCCTGTACATTTGCTGAAGGGCTCCAGTGACAGTACCCCGAGCTGCTGTACACCGCCGTAGCAACCCTGTAGCTATTCGCCGTAGCTCAGCCGGAGGAAGTTTTCAAGTATATCACATCGAGTAGAGTAAGACTGTTTAGATTTAGTTTGCTATTAGTATTCCGCCCTTAGAGCATACTTAGTTTAAGTTAAGGGGGATGACGTCTTGGATTTAATATAGCTTAGATCATTTTCGTATTTTTAGTAATTCTTATCGATTTAAATTTCTTAACACATTTCATTCATTTCTTTATAAACTTTTAATATTTTAATAAATTACTTAATCATTTTTAGTAGTATTATTTACAGTATAGTCTCATAGTTAAGTTAGAGTCACTTAAGTTCAAGTAATTATAGTATAATTGAAGTTCATGGTAGTTGCACTCAACAGTTCGAGGTTAGTGTTGAGGTCTACTTAATAGTAACATCTTTTATGCCGAGTTCATAGAGTATAATCTCGTGGCGCCCTTTTATTAATATCTTTGAACCCCGACCACCCGGCTGTTAAAATTAAAAAGCTAGTGGCCTCTATGCAACTCATTACCGATTAAGTAAACTTGTGTTTTATTGAACTTGAAATTAGAAAGGGCGTGGCATCGTGCCCTGCATGGTACCCAGGTCAACTTAACAAATGCTACGTTCACCCAAAGTAATTAGTGCACGCACACAGTCCCATACTAGTCAATAATTGACCTCCGTGGAACCTGTCTGTATCAGTGCCTCTAGCGCTGCTTGGCTGTCTGTGAACATGGCCACTAAACGATGTGTTCTGTGCTGCTTTGCTATTTCTCGTACACAATAGTGGATTGCCCTTATTTCTGCTCGAAAATTGTGATATCCTTAGATTACCTTGGCTTACATGGAAATACACCTTCCGACGTTCTTGAGCCGTTTGTATACCAGGTTGCCTCAGCTTGAATCTTTTTTTATTCTCCTGTCTTCCCTTCCTGGTTTACCTTGTAGCTGTTGTCTTTGTACTTAACCTCAAAAAGTATCAAACGTCTAGCCTCTCCCGAGTAACTGACACTCAATCGACACGAAGTTGCATTAATGAATTCTAGTTGCTTTGGTTTCAATCTTTCTTTTCCTGATTTACTTGTTTTTATTTATATTTAATATGAAACTTGAAACAATTTGAATGTTGTCTTGATTTTAAAATTGAATGCCTCATGTCAGCTGTTGATGCTGTATTGATGGGCTTATCCCAATATAGATTATAAATAATATAAATCGAAATAAAAATTAAACTTCTACACCCTGTATCACCGAAACGAAGCATTTTAGGACATAAGTTTATACGAACTTTTTTACTTATTTTAACATGCTGCCGAAGTTTCCAGAATACAGTTCAGATCACCCTGTATAATTACTTACACGGTATTACTTTTAAAAAGGTATACAATTTGCAATGTTTGATATTGTTTGAAAATAGTATATTGTTTCGTTAGGAGTAAAAAAGTTAAACTTATCGCGGGGATGACATTACAGGCGAGGCACAAAAAGTAATTTTTACTCCGAATATAACATGCTATTTTTTTCAAATGTCACAAATATTTTTTTAAAGAATTTTTAACGTTCCAAATATAAAAAGATTTAAAAGTAATACCACAGATTAGGTATCCTATAAGTATACAGATAAAAATCTTGTCCCTAATTCGTGGTACGAAAATTGTTTTTTATAACGATGTGCAAACGAGTCAAATTTCCTGTGCGCAAAAATAAACTCGCGTAAAATAACAATAAACAGCATAATAGAGAGATATCGCTAAACCGAATAGCGGGCATGGACGTTAATAAGGCCAGGTGTTATTTCCTTTACGTGAGGTGGTATTAACTCTCTTCATTTATAGTTATCGGATCGGAAAGAATTCTGATCGCGTCGCGTCCGCTGTTTAAACTTAACCTAACTTTGAATTTAAAACTTTGAAATTGTTTTGTTTACTAGGTATTTTAAAACTAAAGAGCTAAAGTGCTCATTTCCAGTGCTTTATTGGTCAACGTCTGCCAATGGGTTTAGGACAACAAGCAACAAATTCTCTTAGAAGGGCAAAGTCGTCATCTGCTGTAAACCTAAGACTCTTTATAGGTTCTTTAGTATTGGAAGAGGTGGAATACATATTTTGGGCCATATTTATTTAATTAAAACTAATCCCAGCTGCTTAAATATCAAATTACCTAATAAAACTAAAGCAATAATTCAAAACAATTCAAACATAACCTAAAATAAAAGATCTCGCCGACCGGCTCCGGTTGTCAAATACCCGCACATGCCCATTTAAGCAATTTTTAACCGTTATCAGAGGTTATTTAGAAAGAGCGCTTAGTGTAATTGATCCGCAAATTACGTCAGGCGGTAACGTTATTAGCGGGTGTTGCGTTGACTCGCGCATATCGTAACCATGATAAGGTACGCGCAAATACTGGATGACGCTATTCGGTTTTCCGATGACTCTCTAATAACTGTGCCGGTCAGGCGCTGTGCACAATTTTAGAGGCCATAAGTGGGCGTGCTATGTGCGCAAACTAGTCACCCAACTAGTACCCGATTCCGAAAATTGGAACCACGAAAAACAATAAAGAAAAAACAAAGATTATAATCTGTATAATCTGTGGTAATACCTTGTACGTAATTATATATCGAGAAACTATGGTTAGGCTCGTTGAATTTGACACTTTTTTTATGTCAGTTTAATAATATTTTTTTACTTTTATACTTAGGCGTAATTAGTGTTTTATTTTTATGCCTAATCGTTAAAATGACTATTTTATATTGTCAATCACGTCGCAAAAATTAATACTTTTATGACGTTTGAAAAAAAATAGCATGTTTTAGTCTGAGTAAAAACGACTTTTTTGTGCCTCGCCTGTAATATCAAACGTACAGCCTCGCCATAAAATGTGTCATTTTTACTCTTAATAAAACAATATACTATTTGAGAATTTAAAATTAGTTGTCCCAAAAAATGCCAATATTTATCTACAATAATTGATCTGATTATGATTGATGACCACGTATATTTTCTTGCAGGTGCACAAGACACTTTTGGATTCGGCAACTTGTATTTCGTCTATCAACTTTTTTTGCTGGTATGGATCATAGGAGGAATGGGCTACGTCGCCATGATCTTAAGTTATATAACCAACGCGATGCGTAGTAAGCGAGTTATTAAAATAGAACGCCTTCTAGCCGACAACATCAAAAACACGCCTAAAAGAATCAGAACTGAACTTAGAAGCCTTCTGCACGAACTACTTTTCTTGAGAGTCAAACCAGTTTACAAAGGAGAATTCGAATACGTTCCCAGTATACTGGAGAGAAGCCAAAGCTGCCCGGAGTTCTCAATTTATAAAGAAGCATCTCCCGCAACTCTACGTAAACGAGCAATGTCCGAATGCTACAAGTCCACTCCATTAGCCAAGGTCCAATCTGACACAGAACTACAGAAAATAGACAAGGAAATGACCTTTAGACCTACATCTGAACTACTGGAACAGACCGGTTTATTGTTCAAAGTCGTTAATGCTCTAAGTTGTGAATCTTTAAACAGACAAGGCTTAGAGGGGGGTATTCATTGTTTCTCGGACAGTGAGGTATTGGCAAGTGAATACTACGAACCGGGAATCACTCAGGTAAAACCTAAGAAGCGCAGAGCTATCAGCGATGTCAGACCTCCAAGTCGATTAGTGAACGAAGCTATCAACGGAAATACGTGGTATGGAGGTGAAGCTGCGGCAGCTGCAAAAACGCTTAAAGAGTTTAAAAAGAGACAAAGAGCCAGGTCAGTGTTTCAGGTTAAGAAACCCGAGAAAGAAAACGTGTTTCAAAGGATTCGAAACAGATTGTTATCAAGGGACGAATCAAGTCATCAAGACATTGAAAAGCAGAAGATTCCTGATGAGTTTGAGAAAGCTTGCCTTGATGTTCCAATGAGTACATATGGCAGAAGGGGTTCCATGCTGTCTAGTGTTATAGGCAATGTGCAAAACGCTCAAAGGGATCACATATTGGAGCAAACTTCTATAGCTGACTTTATCAGGGCTTTATCGGCTATAACCACAACAGATACATTGGAGAAGGAAGAATCCACCAGCCAAGTTCCGAAAATGAGAAGACACGGTATCATAGCAACTCCAAGTCGAAGGTCGTCGTTGATACCCAACACAACTCCGCCAGAAGTTCGTACGCAACGTCGGTTCTCTTTAAGGCCAGCTGACGAAAATATCCTTAATCATCCAGTGAAAAGAAAGGATAAAATGAGAAAAATCTCGGTGGCGTTTCAAGACGATAGAAGAAATTCCTTAATACTGGAAGCGACTCCTTCTATTCCACCCACTTTAACAGAACATGAACTGTTCGCACCTGCGGAAACTCGGTGCAAAAAAAGTTCTGCAACTGCGGCACCAACAGTGGAGGAAGCCGCAGGCCCACCCCCATATTCGCTATATCCGCTTGAAAGAAAGAGGTTTACTGTAAGGCCAGTGAATTTAAGTACTTCAGTGATTACAAGTCCTATTCAAAAACAGTTGCATAAACGAGACAGGACAGATAGTTTTAGTAAAGATAGTAAATAGAATTTTATTTTAGCATAAAAACTGAATATTATAAGCTTTTAGATTTTTTTAAGTAGTAACTTGTCGCTGTGATCTAATTATTATCTCTATACATATGTACAGTTTTAGTAAAGTTGACATTTGTTTTTAAGTATAAGATAGCCTGTATCAGGTTGATATACAACTGCATCAGCTATACTTTGTAAATATTGGAACATATTTTCGTAGTCTCGAATCAATGTTTGTATGACTAAGCCAGTAATAAATCAGGAAAACTAATGAGTAGAGAGAGATGGCCGATTCTGCATCCTCCTCCCGCGCAGGATGTGCCGTCATCAGTGATGTCATCAGCTAGGAACAGTTAAAATAGGTTAATAAACAAGAATAAACAGGTTTGAACCGCTTTGCACCGCTTTAAATCAGAAATAAACGGGTTTGAACAAAAAATTAACAGATCTGTTGTTTTAAGCTAAAAGCGGTTCAAACATGTTTATTCTTGTTTATTAACCTATTTTAACTGTTCCTAGCTGATGACATCACTGATGACGTCACTTCCTGCGCCGGGAGGAGGATGCAGAATCGGCCATCTCCCTCTACTCTAATGAAAACTGCCAGTTTATAACACATAAAAAATGATATTATATTTAATAAATATATTTTTTTCAAACGTCACAAAAGTATTAATTTTTGCTACATGATTGGCATTATAAAGGGGTCATTTAACTACTAGGCATAAAAGTAACGCAGTAACGCACTTTTACGCCTCAGCACAATATAATAGTACAAAAATTATTACCTATTAGACTAACATTAAAGTCAAGTCTTTATGACTTAATTCTATATTTTTTATTTAGATCACGATGATCTGCGAGTTAGCAAAATGACTTAAATCAAAGTACCGTCAAGTCAAGACAGCCAAAATTCAATTTAAGTATTTGTAGAAGACTTATTAAAGTCCGATATCAGGATAAAATTAAAATAATTTCCAAAACGCCATGTATAAATCCAAAGAAAGATAAGATCTTACAAAGAATTTTACAAGCACCGCCATTAATTACGAAGTGGAGAGGAAAAATTAATATCGACTTGTTTGATATGTATGACCTCTGTGTACGTCTATGAATACTTTAATTTAGTTCTGTGCTTTAAATGTTGTGGCTTCGGCCCTGTATCAAAATATTGTAAAGAACGAGAATGTTGCAATAAGTGTGCCAAAAATTATCCATCTATAGAGTATCAACAACCCAAATATATATGTGTTAATTGTATAAAATTTATATAGCACGGCATATAAATCAATCGGCAGGCTAACTCGCTTTGGCGGGAACGCTACGCGCATATCCTCGCGCACGCCGCCATTTGCGTTTCCATCAGCAGAAAGTAACCAGTGTCGTAGTTTTTTCAGCGACAACACATAGTTACGGCAGATTCGAGTCAGTAGCGTGCGGCTTAATTTATTTTGTTTTTTTCTTGAGTGATATATTTTGTTTTTGTTGTTTTATTTTTGTTTATTATGTGATATATTTGGTTTTTCTAGTTTTATTTTCGTTTCTTATGTAATATGATTTGTTTTAGTAGTTTTATTTTTGTTGTTCAATAAAAGTTTCTTTCTGTTTCCTAGAGATCCTATGAGGTATGTATATATGTGATTAATTATTTTAACATATTTTAGTTGTGAAAAAAACAGTAGTATACATATTAGGACATTCAGCTAAATAGGAAGACCTAATTAAAAATCTTAACAAACTTTAATATTAGTAAAATTTAATGTTGTATCTAGACATTAAAAATTAAATTTAAAAATCATTATATTATTAATTTAAATATAATTATAAAAGTAAATAAAATGAGTATATCGAAAATAAATTAACTATACATATTGAAGATATAAATAAGGCCCACAAAAGTTGTCTTCTGTTCATTTTGAATTTAAAATGTTTACCAATTCACTTTGTAACCGTATAAAATACAATGCGATACCTACTTTGTTTCCTGCCATGAAAAAAAAATAGAAGTTTCTCAAAAAAAATTGTGGATTTGTTAATTTGTGAAATTTGAATATTAATAAAATTTGCTACGCCCATTGATGGGCATAATTTGTACGTAGCCTCTTTATATTGTTCAATAAATATTTTATTGGTATTCCTTTAATTCTTGTTTGTAACTCCTGGCATGTTTTTGTTAGTTTCATGTTTTTTAATTTTAATTGTCTATTCTCTACAGTGAAATATTTAATTGATTTTTTCATTTTTACTTTTCGAGAAGTATGCGCGGTTAACGAATCATTTGTTTGGACAAAAGTATTGTGTAAATAAAATTCAGTTTCAGTCAATTACAGTATTTTTTTAATACGACCCTGTCTAACAATAGTTTATTTTCTGAGAATTTTTTTGATATGTTTTAATCCGGCCCTGAGTAGGAAACGATAATGGCGCTGTCAAGGTCAAATTTTATAGAAATTTAAAACAATGGAATCTGAGCAGAGTTAGCCTGCCGTGTGATTTATATGCCGTGGTTATAGTATACAGGGTGGATTTCGTGGGTATCTCGGAAACTACTGGAGATAAAGAGTCGGTTAAATGGGGAAAGAATTGCAGTTTTGTGGGGTCATAAATATGCGCCTTTCAGATTTTTGAAAAAGTTCATGGCTTAGTAGATATTTCGAAAAAAACAAATTTCGGCTATTTTAAAAGCTGACCACAATTCCATTAAAAATAGATTATATCTATTTTAGACAAAAAGTTTTCAGATAAAAGTTGTAGAAAATCACATCCTTAATGAGATTGTGTCCTCCGTTTTTATCTAAACCCTGTCATTTTTGACATATGACACAAGCGTATGTTTTTTTAAATGAAACCCATAGTTGGCCATGACTTCATAAAAAGCGCCATTTTTTAAGCTTTTCAGCGATATAAGTTATAGCAAATTCTTATCTTTCTCGACTAATTCCACTTAGTTGGTATGGTATTCTTATTTTGTTATGATTTATAACTTATAAAAAGACAGAATATATTATTAAACGGTTCTTTACAATTTACATTACACAAACTAAAACTAAAAAAAAACTAATATCACTACATACACTTTAAAATAAGCAAATGTTCAAAAAAGCCGCCATGGTTTTGAGTATATAAAATGCATCTTTTTAAAACTGAATTACAAGCTTTTTCCACAGAACGACCTGTCAACTTTAATGAACTTCTCCCGTACCGCCTCTTCGAGTGCCTCTCTTAATTCATAAGTTCTTTTGTAAACCTTGTTGTTAACCTTGCCGCATAAAAAAATCTAAAATGGATAGGTCAGGTGATCGAGGAGGCCCATGCAATTGGTCCACCTCTTCCTATCCCTGAGTTTACATAATTATGATATAAATAATTTTTAACATTTCTTTCATTATGAAGGGGAGTGCCATAATGTAAGTCATGTTGGAACACACTGCGCGAGTATCTAAATTTAACTTTTCTAAAAAACGTAAGTAACGTTCACCGGTCAACGTATCCTCGTAATACGTAACGTAATCCTTCATTTGAAAAATTCATATTTACAATTTTTGTTTATTTTAATTTACAAAGTTTGGATGTGACAGTTTCACATTACTGAGAGCAACGACGATTGAACTTGTTTCCATGGCTAATTAAGTGAAATTGTTTAAAAATTATAAGAATTGGCTATAACTCAGTAATTTTTCGAAAGAAACATATTATAGCTTATATCGCTGAAAAACTTAAAAAATGGCGTTTTTTATGAAGTCATGGCCAACTATGGTTTCCATTTAAAAAAAAACATATGTTTGTGTCATATGTCAAAAATGACTGGGTTTAGATAAAAACGGAGGACACAATCTCATTAAGGATGTGATTATCTACAACTTTTATCTGAAAACTTTTTGTCTAAAATAGATTATAATGGAATTTTGGACAGTTTTTAAAATAGCCGAAATTTGTTTTTTTCGAAATATCTAGTAAGCCATGAACTTTTTCAAAAATCTGAAAGGCGCATGTTTATGACCCTACAAAACTGCAATTCTTTCCCCATTCAACCGACTCTCTATCTCCAGTAGTTTTCGAGATACCCATAGAGAACATTGTAGGAAACTCACCCTGTATATAGTTTAGAAGAAAGTCCCAAGCAGCATTTGGACGTCGGGACAACGTTGTGTCACGCGTCCAAACGTCGGGGCGCAACGTCGGCACAACCTCGTGCCAACCCTAGTCTGCACTAGTTTGGAGAATAATTTTTGGGTCGAAACGACGTTGGATACCGACGTTGGCTAGAAGCCTAATTTAGTACAAACTGCAACGTTGTTTAAAATCCTAATTCACAGAAATACAAAACTAATATGGCGTCTAAGTCGCGTTTTATCCTAAATTGGGATAATTATTGTAAAAATATTATTTTTATAATTTAGTTAGAGACATATGTCAGATGGCAGTGAAGGAAAACAAAACAAAAGTATTTAAATGTGTTGAGGATGTTTGAAGATCACAATTATTGAAACACTTTAACCGACTCTGTAACTCGTTACCCAAGGCAAAAAAGTTAAACGCAAACAACTTTATTGATAAATGTATTGTTTCTACTTTGAAAAATACTAATGGGCCTTGAAATTAAAGAAGTTTTAAAAATTTTCTTGAATTTTTTTTTAGTAAAATGAGAATAATTTATTCGCAGTCGAAAAAATTGTTTCCGCGTGTTTTTTAGGGTCAAATATTTCAAGTTAATGTATTCAAAAAGCAGGAATTGCTATTTTAGAAACGAAACATTTTCTTATTTAACAACATGGCGGCTTTCACTTTGTTGTTTTGGAGATTAAGATGGAGTAGTTCGAGTAGTCGCATACTGGACTAATAAAGTCGCAGTTCGGCCTTAACAGGTAGTATACTAGTCGCAAGATTGCCTAATTTAGTCATCCTAGAGTCTAGCTTGTGCCGCCCTCTATAATCTAAATAAACGAGGGAGTGGATAAACTATTGGTAATATATGTCGATGTATATTTAAATTTAGTTTTATATGTACCTTTCTTATGTCCCATTTTAATTAAGTTTTTTTTTTATAAAAACAAAAACAGCACTGAACTGTCTGACTGAACAGAACAATAAAGTGGAAATTTAAAATTTAAGGTTATTGTTCAATACAGTTGCAAAAAGATAGTGACTCGACGTCCTACCAACGTAAGAATAAGGAAATCTAAACAACGTTGGAATTAGTAAAACAGACGACGTTTGCATAACGTTGGAATAGGTCCTGCAACTGACGTCGGAAAACTCTATATTGTCCAACGTTGTAACTACGTTGTCCGAATCACCTAAAGATCACTTAAGCAAAAAAGGTTACAAGACAACGTTTATTCGACGTCGTAGAAGCTTCTACTTTGCTGTAGTACTAGTCCAACGTCGGCACAACGTTATAAAAACGTTTAAATTTATTTTAATACCCAAGGTAGGGAGCTAACTATTTTTTGTAACTAATCCAACGTTGTGTTTAGTAAACATGTGGTCGCAAGTCGTGAAAATGCTATTTGGGGTGATCATTCTGCAAGAGATAAAGATTGTCCAATATACCAGAGAAGACTCGCTTTTTATAGAGGAAATATAAACTAAGATTATTTTTTATAAATGATCCTGAATTCTACTAAATATACCGTATGATCGAAAAAACGGCGCGCGTCCAGTAGGCTGAAGAAATGACATTTTCAATTTGAAGAGTGTGGATGTGGCCTAAAATATCATTGCTGCTTCTTTATTAAGGTACCAAAACTTTCTTTAGTCCATTGTTTGTTTCATACTAATACCATTTAAGTAACTCTTTGTATACAATAGGAAATTGCATGGTGGATTTTGATCTGCATATGTAACAGCAATATATTTATTATTATATTAGAGTATACCATCTTAAATCTAATACCCCACAAATATGATAAAAACAACATGTCCCGTTCTTCTGCACAATTTATATTACAAAATACATACTGATTTTAAAAATATGTAAAAATAGACTTTGTAATTATTATCATTGTCTTTTGAAAATCTTGTTAATACTTAGTAGTAGTCAAATATCAACAAAAATTGTGCTACAAAAAAATCTCATAAGTTCGGAACAGAAACAATTTAATGTTTTTTTGTAACATAACAAAATAAACTCAACCAGAAACTATACGACAAGACAGAACTGAATTATCTATCGGAAAATCGATTTTTTCCAATCAAATTAATTTATCGACATGTATAACATATCGATATAAATAGAAATCGTACATAATAAGCGTATGCGTTGTATAAACTACTTAAAATTTAAATAATCTACTTGTTTGTTAAAATAAAAATAAATAGTAACCGACAGTCATTTCACTCTTCTTTACTCGGCCAACTCGATTAACCCCTTTTTTTAAAATATTATGTGCTTCAAGTATTTTCCAAGATGGCGTCTTCTTCCTGTGCTCTTCTGAGTTCCCTCTCCACTTCTGACGTAATTGCTGGAGGATCCTGCAGAGACAGTGGCGGCGTTATGCTAATAGGTTGATTTTCCAGCACGTCCTTGAATATTTTGATTAAATTACTTATTCCTATTAGATAGCCGTCTTCGTGGTTGCCCACCTTCCACTTGGAATTGTGGGTGATGTTTACACCGTCTGGCAGTTTAAGGGTTTTGGCGAAATCGATCAGCCATACGTTGGCACTGTAAGAATCGTGAACGAATAATAAGGAACTTCCAATCACCTGCAAAAGAAGTAAGACTGTCTTAAAACTGCTGATATTATTACTCTTATCTAGTCATCATTTTATCTCATTTCTATTTGGGACACCCCCTGTATCTCTGTTATTTTTAAAGGTTTCGAGAATAATACATAATAATAAATACAGTGGCGTAGTCTGTTGAACGAAAATATATGAACTAAAGTTATGTTTTCCTAAATGGAACATGTTTTCTTGAATAGATTTTTGAAATATGAAAACACCTGGATGCTTTAATCAAAATGATTTAATAATGCAAGCTAATAATGCAAGATTTTAGATATTTGCAAACCCAACCCGTTATAATAAATTCCGGTATAAAAAAGAAAAAAATATGTTTAGAGATTCAGTGGTAACAGTTCAAAACGATAATATATCAATCCCAAATAAAATTTTAATATGTGTATGACTATTTTAGGAAATTCTATTTTAATTTTTTTGTTATTTATCACGGTCTACTAATAAAAAAATGCTATATTTTAAATACTGCAGTCACGGTGATGTCACTTGTATGGGAAAACAGGCAACAGTCAAATTTAAACGTGCCAGGAACAACGACAAAGAAAGCAACATCTGCCAGGCATTGGCTTTCTTTGTCACTCACATTGTTTAAATCATGATACCGCGGCCATTTTGCCAACAAAGAAGTTGACCGGGCTGTCCTGGCAAGTGATTTAAAACAATTTTGCTTTTTTACAATATTAAATTACCATTTGGATGTATTTAATGCGAAAAGTTCTGCAAGAATCAGTTCTTACCTTCTCGATATCACCTACAACAACGGAGATACGAGGTCTGTCCCAAATTGCAAGAATTTTATAACAATTTAAAATATATTTAATCAACATCAACACATTTAAACTATATCTAATAACAATAAAAATAAATAGCAAACCAAGACATGAGATTCTGCTACAGGTGTGCGACATACCGACCGTCTTGTTATGGACAGTCGGGGCAGTTTTTGAACATTTCTCGCGGAATTCATTAACTCAGTGGGGGTGAAAGACACCCTCTCATAACTGCTAAGCATTTCTAATTCTTGTCTAGATTATACGGAAGAATAAGGAACCTTTATTCTGGGCACTAAGTCAGGTGGCCTCGACGTCCAGCGGCTGGGATCTATTCAGATATTCTTGAAATTGGTTGCAAAAATTTGCTGATAACTTTAGCGTTGAGAGGCGGTGCGTCGTCTTGCTATAAAAATATGTTTTCGAGTTCCATTAAGGGCATATCATCAATAAGGGGCCCAAAGCCTACTAATTAAGAGTGGCGAACTTTTAAAAATTCTGTATTTCGAAGGGGATTATAACAAAATATCAAATGCGCTATATTTTTGGAAAGGTAATTTTAAATTCTTTTGAGTTAATTAAAAATATAGAGGGTGTCCCAAATAAAAAATCAATTATTAATTAAAAAAAAAATATACTTAAACCATTAAATTCTACGTAAAAAGGTGCTTTGGAAATGTTTTCATAGAAATACAGAATTTTCCACAGCAAAAAAGTTACAGCAATTTGTTAAAAATACACATTTTTGGAAAACATCCTGTAACTCCGAAACGGTAACAGATATTGATGTGCGGCTTTCGCCATCATGTTTTTGATGAAAATTGAGCTCCAGGCACCGATATTAGTTTTCGTCTATCTCCTATAGAAAAGGGTGTTTCCATTTAAAGGCGTCGAATTTGATCCACCCTGTACAGCTGGTTCCAATAAAATTGAGTACGATTTAAAACATATTTTTATTATTTCGGGCATTTCTCTACTCATGTGATGCTGACGTTCTGAAAAATTTATTTGCCACTTTCTCAAAAGCGAAGTTGTTTTATACAATGTCACAATAATCTTAACATGTCATAATACTTGACATATAAATATACACTGCCCAAATATTCGAAAAAAATATGTAAAGAGTCGCATTCATTTTTTTTTGGAACCAGCTGTACAGGGTGGGTCAAATTCGACGCTTTTAAATGGAAACACCCTTTTCTATAGCAGATAGACGAAAACTAATATCGGTGTCTGGAGCTCAATTTTCATCAAAAACATGATGGTGAAAACCGCACATCAATATCTATTACTGTTTCGGAGTTACGGGGTGTTTTTCAAAAATGTGCATTTTTAACAAATCGTTGACACAACAAAACTTTTTTACTATGGAAAATTTTTGTGTTTCTATGAAAACATTTTCAAAGCACCTTTTTACGTAGAATTTAATGGTTTAAGTATAATTATTTTAAAATTAATAATTTAAGAGTTATCAACAGAAAAAATTATTTTTATTTGGGACACCCTCTATATTTTTAATTAACTGAAAAGAATTTAAAATTATCTTTCAAAATATAGCACACTTAATATTTTGTTATAATCCCCTTCGAAATACAGAAATTTTTAAAAGTTCGCCTCTTTTAAACTAGTAGGCTTTGGACCCCTTATTGATGATATGCCCTTAAATTAATGGAACTCGAAAACATATTTTTCAACAGCAAGACAACAGCACCGCCTCTGAAAGCTGAAGTTAGCAGCAATTTTTGCAGCCAATTTCAAGAATAATTGGATAGCTAACCAAGATCCCAGCCGTTGGCCGTCGAGGCCGCCTGACTTAGTGCCCATGGATCTAATCCTATGGATCCTTATTCTTCCGTATAATCTAGACAAGAATTAAAAATACTTAGCAGTTATGAGAGGGTATCTTTCACCCCCACTGAGTTAATGAATTCCGCGAGAAATTTTCAAAAACTGTCCCATCTGTCCATAACAGAAGAGGGTCGATATGTCGAACACCTGTAGCAAAATCTGATGTCTTGGTTTGCTATTTATTTTTATTGTTAATAAATTATAGTTTAAATGCGTTGATGTTGGTTAAATATATTTTAAATTGTCATAAAATTCTGCATCTCTCATAGCAAATATTATTTTCGTTTTAATTGATGCTCACAGCTAGAATTTTTTTGCATTATTGCCGGTGCCGTTCAAAGCCTACTTATTTAAAGTGGGGAATTTTTATATACTCTATATCTCGAAGAGGAATCGAGCAAAATATCAAAGTGTGTTATATTTTTTGGAAAGGTAATTTTAAATTATTTTCCATAAATTAAAATATACAGGGTGTTCCATTTAAAAAAACATAACTTTAGTTCATATTTTCAAAAATATTTTTTTGGTAGAAAAACAGACTACGCCACTGTATTCTACGTAAAAAGTTCTAGAATAAACAGTTTTCACCTTCTCGATAGCTTTAACAATAACAGAGATACAGGGGGTGTCCCAAATTGCAAAACTTTCAAAAAGACCCTGTAGCTCGGAAACGAAGATGGCTATAAAAATTTTGTTTACGGCATCTTCCGTTTGACAAAAAAGTGAGACAGGTTTGTGCAAACCGCACCCTTCTATCTTCACTAATAACGGAGATACCGTATGATTTCAATCAAAATAGGACACCCTGTACATACATGGAAATTATCTAAATTTGCAAGGGAAGCTACATTAGTTCTGGAAATGGTTGAATAGGCTTATTATTACATAATTACCTCGTGCGTTTCAAAAAACTTCGATTGCTCTAAAGTGGCTTTGATAGCTTTTAATCGCTGGATGTACTTCGGCTAAAATTAAGAAAAAAATATGTTACGCCAAAATATTATTAGCAGAACTATAACGTACTACTGCATGAGGGAATCCCTCTGTAAACTTGATAAAAGCATCCATTATTTGCTCCCTCGTTTTGGTCGTTTTGAAATCCTTGCTGCTCGTACCGTCTGCGTTTCTGATGCCTTCTATCCGAAATCCTAATGTAGCAGTGGACGATATCGTTTCCCTCCATACCATGTACCTCGGTTTGGTAACACCTTTCAGCTTGTGCTCTTCTTCAGTTGGGGCTTTTTGATCTATCTGGCACATCTTCTCGTACATATCCTAAGAAATAAAATGGGTTATTTAATTAATTTCTAAAATAATAATAAGACGATATTGAAAATGTGTAATACAATAATAATAATAAAAAATTCTCAAATCATTACACAAGCCCAAGAAATAAAGTTAACATATATAGTTCAGTCATTGGGGATTTTTGCTTGAAAAAAAAGTCCGGAAGTTTAACAACTTTGCAGGTTTATAGGTTTTGGGGTCAATAACTAAAATCCATAAAATGCACATTTCCAGACTTGCCGCCGGCGCCGCCATATTGCCAAAATGGCGCCCAAAATCGGTATTTTGTGAATATCTCGAAAACTATGCCTTTTTCGCAAAAATTTGAGGAGAGCAAAATTAAAGAGAATAAAATTTCCTATAAAAAAGGATTCATGAAAATTTTCGCTAAAGTCAACTGTTTAGGCACAAAATCCCTGGAAATTTTACAATTTTGCGTAGAATATGATAATATATTATGTATAGTCGATTTTCCGAAATCAAATGTCGATTAGGGTTCACTAAAACTAGTTTTAGTTTAGTTTCTTCAATTTTGTCATAAAACAGTGGCGTATCATTAATTCGCTCATTTTTTTTCGCAGCCCACAAATATCGTACCTCACGATTTCCTCTCGTTAAGGGTTGAGCTCTCCAGGGGCGTCTGCTTCTTAAGTTGACCTCTCTTATCTATTACGAACACTGTCAGGACTAACGGTTACATTATGTGTTTCCTGGAGAATTAAACTAAGCTCTGGTGCTGTAAGAGTCGGTCGGCGTCGATCATTTAATTGTAAAAAATGATCTTGCAGAGGGGTAGTAATGCGATGTCGCCCTTTGTGCCTTTCAGTAACATCACCACTTTCACGGTAGCGTGCACTTAATCGCGTTATTACACTTTGCGTTGTATTTAATGCTCTAGCTACGTCCATTTGGCGCATTCCAGCTTCGAGCATACCCATGGCCCTTAGCATTTCGTCTCTGTTAAGATGTCTACGCTTCATAATGTCGTTTAATACTAAACAAAGTTATTTGAATGAATTCTGGCCAGTTATCATAAAAACATAGCCAGTACAGGTTAAATTCCAACAATTGATGCTAGGTGCTTTTTATACATTTGACAAAAAATGCAAAAACACTTCTGCAAATATCCCAAATTTAGAAATAACTACTGTGACTACTTCATTTCAATCGAAGTAGAAAGAATCGGCCTACAAATATGTGGTTGTTTATTCAAAACATTTATTTTTAACTTTAATAAAATGATATCCCTAGATTTTTCCGGTGTGTGTATTACAGATCGTAGGTACATACAAACTTATAATAGTAGTAATTTCGCAATCGGTTTTCTGAATCGTAGCTTTTGCGGGGCTTTTGAAAAATTAATATTTTTGTTGAAATCATTCTAATAAAAATCTCAAAATGTGAAAAGAATCAAACCAAATATTCGTCATAGAGAGAACCACCCAGTCCGCGAAATTTAGTAATTCTTTTAACTTTCGTGCATAGCGATTACAGTTTAGTGTACTCTTCTCCATTATTAAAAAAACTTGACAGTAAGAGTCATCGTTCAAAAGAAATACAATTAGTAAAAATTATTTTCGTTTTTTTCGCTATAATTTAAGTCGCAATTAACTTAATTTAAATACCCGTATTAAGTATGCACTATTGTTTTCAATTTACGTTAAAACACAATGATTTATGGCAAACTAAATATAAAACATAATGCACAGGTTTACGTAGGCAGGTACTCAAATTTATTGCGTTAGTCAAATTAGGTAAGGTACTACTATCAAATTAAATTTCTATTTTTATACGAAAATTATACTTGAAAAAAATGAAAAACGATTTTCAGCAATAATTTTAACAACATTTCAAAATTACGAAAATTTACACTTTGTACTACTAAATATAAAAAATTAAGTACCAAGATATAGTTAGTAGCTAAAAATAGCTTTCAGTAAATAACACGCTATAGGTAAAATTGATTTCTAATTTATTATGATTTATAATAACATATTCCAATTGCTGAATTACATGTTTATTAGTGAGATGTCTATTCCAACCAACAGAAAAAAAATATAGAAAAAAATGAAAGGTCTTCGAGCTGATTAGTGAGTTGATAACTCTTCTTAAAGCCAGTATCAAGTAAATAATAAAAAAAATAAAAAAATGGATGCGCACTCGTCGAAGTTCATCCCTACCTCTATATCTCTGAACAAATCTCATTATTTTCTCTAAAAATAATTTCGCACTGACCTTCCTCAATTTCGGTTTTTCTTTCGCTTTGGCAAGCTCCTCCTCCAAGTACGTCCTCACACCTATTTTACAGTCCATGACGCAAGGCGACTTGAAGTCCCCCAAAAGATCCTGCAATTGGATATATTCAGATTCACCATCGTCGCTAGCTACTAGTCCTTTATATTCCGGAACGTAGGGACGTAAAACATCTTTCATCAACACCTAAAATTGAAGTTTTACATAAAATATCTTTAGTTTAGAGGAGACGTAGAATAACTGTAATTATTTTTAACATTCTTGTTTCATTTTACACCACTATCATATGTAAAAGCCACTGACAAGCTGCACTAGATTTATCTTCCAATGCAATGACGAAAAATCCAACCCAGTTTTAGCCAAAAACGTTTTTAGCTAAAACTGTTTTCATGCGAGCTTCAATGTAAATTAAATGGGCTAACGCACACTGATCGGGCGCGAGGTTTAAAACAGACTTAGACACAGTCGGGCTGATCGACGTCGATCGTTAGAGCTCAAACGCATTGTTCACGGCCAGGTCGCTGCGACCTGGCCGTTGGCTGGTCGGATATATTGCCTACATAGATGCGTCCAGATGAACGACCAGTTTCAGCAGGGCTGTCAGATCTAACAATTTTTACGTTTTACCAATTAGAAAATATTATTTTCAGGAAAGTTAAAATATCCGAGTTAACTAAAAAGCGAAGTTCCTATTCATGAGCTTATTATATATTCTAATATTATAAATAATGCATTTAAAATATTAATGGTAATTACAGTAGGGTAATTAGTATAGTTTTCATACATTGTAGAGTAAGAAAAAAAAAAAGATTATACAGGGCAGATCAAAAAGAAACTTTAAATATGTTTTTATTATTTTTTACCATCGAAACTCGAAAGTATAATAACAGGTATCATACGAACCGTAAATAGAGTATATCATATAAAAATGTGTTGAATTTTTACTAGAATCGACCCTTCATAAAAAGACTAGATTTAAGTTTCCCTTTGATCTAGTCTGTATACTATTTCTTTGGCTTTTCTGCACGTGTGCAAAAACTACACTAAAACACTAAATCTTATAGAAAATTCTGCGTTGAATTTCAGGGATATTGTAGCGTTTTTTTAAAAGATTATCACTGCGAACGGCAGCTTTTCGTTGGTAGAGCAGTCGTGGATAAGGTATCTATAAGAGGAATCTATAAAAGGTAATAACTCATCTTTACCTGTAGCCTCGAAATAGCAGCTGATTCAGATTATACAGCAAGATTTAAATAATCACCATTTCTAAAAAAACTGGGACTAATGGCGTCTGACAGGCCAAACGGTCAAACCCTTTGAATAAGAAGACTAAGGAAGAAGCATATTAAAAATCTTAGGTACACCGCGATGGGCCTCAAATATGGCCGACTTAAATTCCGGTTTATCAGTGTCGTTCTAATTTTATTTAAAAAATGTAAAACTATGATGTAGGGTAGACGTGGGGTAGACTCAATAATTTGTTGTTTTATTTTACGTTGTGAATAAATGTTGGTAGTTATTAAAATTGTTATAAAAATATATAATTCTAATAAAAATAGATAAGTTATAATAAGTATTTATTAACACAAACATCCGATACGCTACTGAAGCAGGTAAGTCAAATTAACGTATCTAAATTCTTTGACATCTAATCTTTGACAAGTAATAAATAAAAGCTAAAATGCAAGAAAAATATATAATTTAGTTAATTTAAGTGAATTTCATAAATGATCGGTTTACTACACGTATGTATATTATATAGTCACTTACTAGCGAAAAGTTGTTCCATTATTTCACTCAATTTTTGCCGAGATCTACCGCACGCTACACAACCAACTATTTTAGAGACTTTTTCGATAAATCGCGATAGTGTCACTGTTAATTTAAGTTCTGCCACAATTTCCATCTAGATTTACTACCTTTATACAACTATCAGTAGTAGAATAAATAATAAATAACAAAAATAAGCTCCGTAAAGACTGACAAATCCAAAAATTTCAAATCAAATTCAAATGTGTCAAATGAATCGTCAAACAGAACTGTCAAGGATCCCCACCCTAGAGAGCTTTTATGGTGGCTTTTCCGCCCACCATGCATGAATACATGGATAGCATTATGCTCCTTCCTTAGTCTTCTTATTCAAAGGTCAAACCAAAAGTGCCGTTAAATCACAGAGAGTTGACAGAAGCGATGTTGACAGCGCGCGCCTCCACAGAATAGTGAAACGATAGCAGGGTTAGCGACTAGGGAATATAAAAATTACGCCAAGCGTACCAACAAAATGATCAGGCCTGAATGAGAGGGAATCCGGTGACGATAGGCCATTCATCATATATTATAGTCTGTGAAACGAATAACTTTGAATTTGACAGTTCCCGCGGGCTTTTCTACTGTTAATTTCATTAGGTTAGCAACTTGCGGCCATGCTGACGCAATGCCGTCTCTAATAGAACAGCCTCGGATAGCGAGATTTATGACGTCACGCTAACATAATTATTCCTTATATTTGACTATGGCTGAAATCGTACTCTATAGTCAATGTAGATAGTTTTAGTGTTAAGAATAATAATTTAAAAAAATATGTGGTCATCTTTTGACAAGTTTATATTAGTTTATGAATTGCAGTAAACATTATGTGGTTTGTGGTGTGAATATTTTATATGCAATTTTTTGGATTATATTCGACACTATTTTTTTTATATGACACGACACTGATGAAAGCTATAATGTTAGCCGAAACGTTTTTTTTTAAACCAAAAAAAAATAATGAAAAACCAAATGAAAACTTAATCAGCGTTTTTCCCGAACCTAAATCCCAAGAAAATCAAAAATTTTAGAATAATTTTACATTATAAAATGACAGCGATCTTTATTTCATAGCCATCGCTGACGCATTTTTTTCTATGATATTGTATTATTTGCAAATATAATTTTTCGAACATTGATACTTGCAAAATATATGTACATATAAATTTTGTAAATGCAAATAATAATACATCACTATTAGTATATATTGAATGTTTTTTGTTAAATTAGATCGATTTTCAAACCCCAAAATTTAAAATATATTTTACATTTTACCCATTATCTTATATATCTATTCATTATTTGTATATTGTAAAACATTTGCTGCATTTGTATGATTCATAGTTTATTTGCCAAACTGGACGCTGTTTTTTTTCGATCATACGGTATTTATTACTATAAATAGGTATATATTATATTTATTAACTGTATATTATGTATATTTTATGTAAACTATATCATTTTTAAAATACAAACCAAAAATACGAGGAATAATTATGTTTTCCATGTATTCTACAACATATTTATTAATCCGTATCTAATTAGCGTGACGTCATAAATCTTGCTCCTAGGCTGTTCTATTAGAGACGGCATTGATCTGATATTTAGAAATGTCAAAAGCTGATGACATTTTACTTTTGACAATTATGCCATTTCGTGTTGATTTTTGCAAGAAGAGGAAGAATTGTCACTTGTTTTGTTATTTTCCTTTTCTATTTCACGAAAGTAAAAAGAGTTACCTATCTGATTCGTTCAGGCACTCAATTTAAAGAATATCAGTAACTTTTTTGATAGAGGGATTTTATATTTGCCATGTTGGTAAAAAATAACGGTCAAAATTCAAAGTTATTCATTTTATAGACTATATCTGTAAAAAAGACATGTAACGAACTAAAAACGTTACAATATCATCTGAAAAAATATTAATTTGGAAGAAGTGCAGTCTACTGGTCGTTAGTACGCGTTATATCATTAGATTTAATGGTATTACAGGTAACAGCGACCTGGTCGTCAGTGCGTTTGAGCCCTTAGATCATCGTTTTATGCACACAGAAAAATAATAAATTCTTCCTTCAAAGCAGCTTATTTTATTTTTTATCTTTAAGACAATGTATGCTTTGTATATAACGAAAAGAATATATTCTTTTAAGGGGAATATGATATTCTTAGATTTATTATTTTCATTAGAGAATATATTTATTGAATTTAAAATTTTACTTTTATTTTGGATGACGAACGGAAGTCTTCGGTTTCGTTCAAGAAAATGTATTTACTTCATATATGATTGCAAATAAAACATTTTGCTTTTCTTGGAAACATAATGCTTTTATAAACGATAAAAACATGTTTCACCAGAGACAAAAACATTTTTGACTACAACAATTTTGCTCTTTCTGTGTGCATCTGGCCTAGTACTACACTTATACACCATGAATATGGCTTATACCATATATGGCTTAAAAATGAAGATCGCTATCAATTTGCAAGTAAAATTATACATATGATTGTACATTAATTTTAAAAGGTGGTGTTTTCAGAAATACTGTAACTGGTGCAACGATATTCAATTTTTTATTCTCCAAAAAAAATCAAAAATCAATTAATAAGGAAAATATTTTTTAAAATAAACATTTTTAAAAATTTAATTTATATTACATTAGACTAATTAAGTAAGTCTGCCTGGTAAACGAATAATGTAATCATGTTTATAGTTAGAAATTTTTTTCCGGAATTTCTCTGCATTTTAATGCACTTTGAATACCATTTAAATAATTGTAAGCGAAATTTACCCATTAAAATATTTAAATGTTTTCTAATCCATGCCATATCCGGTATCGTTAGTAGGTAATTATATTGTTAAACGCAAAAGAAATAATGTAAAATTAAGTTTAAAAATTATTGATCATTAGAATTTAGATATCTTCTTTAAAGTATATCTAATAATATGTATGATTAAAGAAGGTATAGAGATACATTTCTCATACTTTTCGAAAACATAAAAGACAATAATTGTGATCAAGAAACAGCAAAAAAATAATTAAAAGTATGAAAAAGAAAATACAAATTACCAGTAAGTAAAAACGTATTGTAATTAAATTTATTTAATGTATAATATACTCAAAATACTAAACAATCGAAAAAAAAACAGCTTTTAGTAACTTTTTTTAACTTTTTTTAGATGGCTTGTCGTGCTTCTTTAGCTTTTTTTAACCCTAACCATTTCTGGGCATATACAGGGTTGTTCACCACATGCGACACGGAGTATTGTAGCTAAACGATGAGATTTTTACAAATTGTAAGTTTTGGGTTCGATGAAGGACTATTAGAGGTACAATTTAAAAATAATTTTACAAGATACAGAGTGTCCCAAATAAGTAAAAAATATCAAAGTTTTATTTTTTTAAATGGAACACTCTGTATATTATTACATTTTTAGTTTCTACGATTAAAATAAAGGTAAATTTGATTAAGGTTTATTATACTTAAACCTTACCGTTTTTGAAATATTTTCAATTTTGTGAAATTGCAGTAAAAATTTTAAGGCTTCATTTCTCCAAGGGTATCAAAGTTTTTAATATTAAATATTTACTGAAGTTTATTTATTGATCAGTTATTGTGTTGAAATAATAAAAATAATACTACCTTATACAGAGTGTCTAAAAATTTATTTTAAATAATTATTAGCTTCAAACGGCAATAACTTGTTTAATTTAAATAGAACACCCTGTATATTTTACGAGAATCAGATGCACAATTTAATTGTCTATCAAATTATATTATACCATTTTTTACCTATCTCTTTAAGTTTCCGTAGAAAATGCATTTTCTTGTAATTTAGAACTTATTTATCAATATACCCATGGAATATTGACATTTTAGATTATTTTTAAAGATGTACCAAATTTTTAAAGAGTACAGATACTAATATTGTCGATATAATTCGTTTATTTCATTAAAAAATAAAAAAACTGTTTAAATATTTGTTAAAGATGACCAATTAATATGATTCCAGTATCCAAACTACATTAACTGACTGTTTGCGTTGATTAATAATAATTGCTCCAAATACTAAAAAACTGATTTTTGTATGGGTATTAGACAGTGTGATAAAAAGTAACACCTTAAAAATGATATTTCATTTTTTAATAAATGCTTATTTATAACAACAGAGACTTTAATTTTGATAACTTATTATTATATTGATTTCTGACTCAAATCCACATTTATTTATAATAATTTATTAACGAACACAATTAAGTATGTTTAATTAGTATATGGGCGGAAATAATGGTGTTATATTTAATTAATGGTATACTCTTTAATAAAGATTTAAATAGTTTTCTTTTTGCATACAAATGGGCTAGTAATATTATCGTTTTGCTAAAAACGATAATATTACTACCCTGTACATTTTGTACATTTGTTGCTTTAAAAACAATCTAAAATGTCAATATTCCATGGATATATTGATAAATGAGGTCTAAATTATAAGAAAATGCATTTTCTACGAAAACTTGAAAGGATAGGTAAAAAACGGTATAATACAATTTGATAGACAATTAAATTGTGCATCTGATTCTCCTAAAATATACAGGGCGTTCCATTTAAATTAAAGAAGTTATTGCCGTTTGAATCTAATAATTATTTAAAATAAATTTTGAGACACTCTGCATAAGGTTATTATTGCAACATTGCATTATTTTTATTATTGCAACACAATAACTGATCAATAAATAAACTTCAGTAAATATTTAGTATTAAAAACATTAATACCCTTGGAGAAATGAAGCCTTACAATTTTTACTACAATTTCACAAAATTGAAAATATTTCAAAAACGGTAAGGTTTAAGTATAATAAATCTTAATCAAATTTACCTTTATTTTAATCGTAGAAACTAAAAATGTAATAATATACAGGGTGTTCCATTTAAAAAAATACAACTTTGATATTTTTTACTTATTTGGGACACTCTGTATCTTGTAAAATTATTTTTAAATTGTACCCCTAATAGTCCTTCATCGAACCCATATCTTGAAATTTGTAAAAATCTAATCGTTTAGCTACAATACTCCGTGTCGTATGTGGTGAACAACCCTGTATAGCTCAGGCCGTAGAGGCACCAGAGGATGCATTGTTAGAATATACATAATATACATCAAGCAAATTAATATTAAATTGAATTATCAAATCTATTGTATTTTTATATATTACCTCCAGGAATACACAAAGGCTCATTAAAGTAGGCATAAAGCAATAAAATATATTTAAGTTTAAAATTTACTAATTATTAAGGGTTAATATTTCCTCCATTTGGTACACCCAGGCAATTGTCCCTCAAGCCGTAGGTTCTGGGCACAGAAACATTGCCCTCGATGTAAACACACTTATAATTCCCTTAAACATAAATAACTATTTTTTAGATATCGTTTAGTAGCGAAATACCCAGGCTTTTGCGAGAAATGAACCCACCGCAAAGCTAAAAACATTTCTAATAATTCGGTACGTGTAATTATCTAGTTTTAAACGCTTACCTGAAAACATTTTTCTTCTTTTACGCACAGCTTCTTCAGAATCGTCCCTTGGTCCGGGCCTGCCTTGAAATTTCCCTGATGCCCAGCCAACTGTACCCATGGATACCTTTGTTTTTTGTACGTTTGAAAGAACGGCGTCCATTGAACGATATTCCTCAATTTTCTCCAGCCTGAACTCTGAAAATAATCGATAGCATCAGTTGTTTTGTCTAGTAGTGGGAACTATCGAATGAATACTATCGAAACATTCGATAGTTGCAATTCATTCGAATAATTCGATAGTTAGTAAGAAAACATTCGTTGAAAACTATTCGAATAAAAATTATCGAATAGATCCGTCATCTGCCTTGAAATATTGTATTCTAGTAATTCGGCAGCAAAAACCATTCATTTATAAAATTCATTCATTTATGAAATTCATTTTATTCGTCAGGATCGATTATAATAAAATATTAACTGAATTTTAGTTGTCGCCCGGCGACGTAGGTTTCTTTCGAGGAACCCGACAGCGGTCGGTGGCAATGCTATGAAAGAAGCCGGCATCTTTGATTTTTTGTGGAGTCAGATATAGATAAGGACACATTATTTTTTTATTGAGGTGCTAGTATTTACACAGAAAATACATTATGAAGGGCGCTGTTGCCATATTTTGGTATTAGTTGATATTAGCAAAGAATATTATTGTTTGGCTTTAGTTAGTTAGGGATAGTATGTCTATATATTCTGCATTTTTTTTATTAATATTCTGTTGTTACACTGCAATAATACTTGTTATTTTGGATGTAGGAAAATTATTTTAATGTTTTTAAGCAAAGACTGGTTTAATAAATAATAATAACAGTAATAATTTGTTATACCTATTAACAACAAAATTTAAAATCATTTAATATAAATATTTTTTTTAAGTAGTAGCAAAATATAAACAACAAATTAGATGTCAAAATTATTTATATTAGATCCTATTTAAAAATAATATAGTCTCTAATTTTTTTGTGTGTGGCAACGTTGGTTTATTAAATAATAATAATTACAGAACTAATTTGTTATATTAACAACAAATTTTAAAATCATGAAATATAAACATTTATTAATTTTCTAAGCATGCAGTGTAATGGAAGGAAAATATAAAAAAAAAATAGAAATCAAAATTATTTATATTAGGTGCTTTATATTACTATTTAAAAATTATATTTACTTTTACTGGCATTTACTTTAAAAAACAAATGAAATATTTCTTCGCAAAAAACTACATGTAAGAGAATTAACATAAACAAAATACAAACATCGTTAACTTTTTTTTTAAATTGGCACGTGTAAAACTTTCATTTTAATTTTCTCACCCCATAGTTTGAGTTCGATAACCGCATTTACTTAACCACATTACCCAATATGATTATTAAGTTCAACTAATTCATATTATTAAAACATCTAAAATACAAATATGTATTTTTAAAATTAATTGTAAGTTCATCTCATCTCTCTTATAAATTGCTACTTCTCAAAATTTCCCATTAAAAAATAGACCATATACCATATAAAATTAAATAATTGAAAGATCGGACTACGGAAAACCACACAAATTTTTTTTTCATTTATTTTAACTATTTTAATAAACGCAAAAATAGCACAGTATTTATACGGCGAAGTTATAAAAATTTGGAAGAACTAATAATGCACTGACGCATACAAAAATCAAACGAATACTAAATTTCATTTATCAAAAGCATTCGATAGTCGTGGCTCAACGATAACCATTTAGTCGCACGGCGAGGTTGTCACATATGCTTTAGTATACAAATGAATGAATGATTTTATTCGAATAAAACCATTCGATAGTTGAAATCATTCATTCATTAACCATTCGATAGTCTAATTCATTCGATAGTTCCCATCGCTAGTTTTGTCCAAACCCATGACTGTGTCGCTACGTCAGTAATATCATTTATTATACTTATATACATACGTCAGTACGTATACATGTTTATGAGTATTATAATAAGAAGCGTGAATTGTCCTTCGCAATTTTTTAAACAAAAAATATCGTCTTTGTTGGAACAATAAGTTTGTGTGTAGAGGCAAAATGTATGTTATTTAAACAAATTAGCTATATTTTTCAGTTGATATTTTGTCAAGTTAACAATAAATCTGAATGCAGACTGCTATGCTATATTAAACTAACACATTCGCAATAATTTTCGATTATTTCTAAAAAATTATGATTTTCTATTTTAGGGAAAAAAACAATGTTAGGTTGAAATCTGATAGACCATTGATTAGGTTTGGGATTTAGTTAGAAAATCCGGAGCACAGACAGCATAGGCATGTTCGGTCTTCCGGTACCAGGACCAAGGGCGTAGATAAGGGGGGGTACTGGGGGACAGTACCCCCCCCCTGACGCTTGACGAGATACGAGAATTGAAATAGTCATTGACTATGAAAGGATTTTTTTAAATTAATATCCGACATATAAGAACACTTTGTATGCTTTTAATTATGTTGATTTATCGTTTATAATATGTTCGACCTAATTAAAAGCACACAAAGTGTTCTTATTGGCCAGGACAGATCAGTGGGGTTAACTCTAATCAATATCAATATATAATAAGTCAATAATAATAAATATATCTAATCAATATTCATAAAGATATTGAAAAAAATGTTGATGCTGTTATTGATAGGTTTTCCAAACAGCGTACTAGAAAACTTGATTTTGTTTTGTAGTTTTATTTATAGTTTATAGTTTTTATAGTTTTTTTTGATAGTTTAGAATTTTTGATTTATAGTTTATAGAAAATTAACTAATAAACGTCGTTGTTTCATTTTTGTTTATGTTACTTACAAATCTATATTTTAATTTTTGTGTTATGTTTTTATATCTTTTTGAAGACAAAAAAATCGCCGTCGTTTTAATTCGACAAAAAAATTCCGACGGTGATTTTTTTTGCGACTTAGTCATAGTACCACCCCCATAGCATACACCTATCTACGCCCCTGACCAGGACCGGTACTTTTGAAATATTCCGGTATCGGTATCGTCTTTTTCAAGACCGGTATACCGGTTTCGGTACCGGTACAGGAAGACCGGTTTCAATCGGTACAGAAAAATAGATTCATGATGTATCAAATATGAAAATCAAAAAATCTGTATAAAACGATTTCGGTACGGTTTTTTTTTTCGATCATTCGTTATAATACGGTCAGGAACATGCAATGTAATTTATTTGGATGTATGTTTAAGGCATTGCTAATCTAGTTTGGTCTAGTAAGCTAGTCTTCTTTTTTGGCATAACTAAAATTCAAGTAAAGCATCTTGCTCATGGATCGCTCATGTATATTAGAATATAAAATAAGAAAATAACACTCTGAATAGAATGACATATCATATGTCAATTTTTTACATGTATTTGAAATTATAACTTGCGGTTTGTAACGAAAATTTGACTCGAAATACCAAGTGTGTGGTATCAAATTATTCGTAAAAAACTTTTTTCCAAATATGCTAATGAGCCACCCTCGTTCCATTTGAAAAAAACTGAGATATGACTAAAAATACGATTTGAACATCTAAAAACATTAGACGATCAAATCTATTTTTCCAAGGCTCCTTGATTAAGAATTAGTGTTTTTAACATTGCCATTGCACTCTAGATTTTTCTAGAATTTTAAAATACGATTTTTTATTAAGCGAGAATGTCAAAAATTGACATATGATATGTCATTCTATTCAGAATGTCATTTTCTATCGAATAAAGTAAAAACATACCGAGGGTGCCATTTAAAAAACAAAAGTTGTAGCCATTTCCGGTACGTCAGTCAATCCTAATTTATGTCATATACCAAATACCAAATCTCGTTTTTTTATCTGAAGAAATAAAAAGTTATAGGGGTGAGCCACTTTTGAGACGCACCCGGTATATCATATAAATTCATTTTTTCAAAATTTTTCGTTTTTTATAAATTTAATTTAGGAAATTTTCTGCTTATATAACCTAATAAAAACCCCTGCAAAATAAATGTTATAAGAAAACTGGTAACATTTCTAAGAAAAGTAAGTTCTTGGTGTGCACAAGTGCATCTGTTATGTTTAACTTCGACTTATTAGAAAAAATGTATTACGTAATATGTACATACGTAGTGACGTCTTAAAAGGATTTAAAACAGTTAGCACGTTTACATATGATTTGGCTGAACGCTTGCGAAGTAGTACATACTAATTGCTATTTTAATATTTATCGCATATTTGTGTGCTATTGTACTGCAAATGTATTAATAATACTATTATTTGAAACAATTAGAATAACTTACATTGAACTACAAATTGGAAATAAATGGTTTTCGTATTATTTATTATACCGTATGATCGAAAAAAGCCGCGTCAAAGACGGTTAGGGAATGACAATCTATGATAATTTTGGCGAGGTCATTCTCTAAACGTCATTTACTAAAAATTGACATAAAACTTGTTTAAAGTAACTCTTATTATAGAAAGATTAAAATAGGATAAGACGTTTACAGACACACAAATCCATGACTAAAAATTGAAACTTCTTTATATAATAAATAAAACATATCAAAGTTGTATTTTTTTAAATGTAACACCCTGTATATTATTACATTTTTAGTTTTAGTAAAATAAGGGTAAATTTGATTAAGGATTATCACACTTAAACCTTATCGTTTTTGAAATATTTTCAATTTTGTGAAATTGCAGTAAAAATTTTAAGGCTTCATTTCTTCAAGAGTATCTAAGTTTTTGATATTAATATTGACTAAATATTTACTGAAGTTTATTTATTGATCAGTTATTGTGTTGCAATAATGAAAATAATACGTCAGGAGCGTCAGATGCACAATTTAATTGTCTATCATATTGTGTTATACCATTTTTTACCTACCCCTTCATGTTTCCGTAGAAAATGGATTTTCTTATAATTTAGAAAGATTTAGACCTCATTTATCAATATACCCATGGATTGACATTTTAGATTATTTTTAAAGCAACAAATGTACAAAATGTACAGGTGCTAAAAACGGTTATATTACTAGCCCATTTATATACAAAAAGAAAATGATTTAAATCTTTATAAAGAGTATACCATTAATTAAATAATATACCACCATTATTTCCGCCCAAATATTAATTAATGACATACTAATTGTATTAGTTAATAAATTAT